CTCCCCACCCCATCCCCGGTCCTCCTTTCGCTGACACCACCATACCTGGCCTGCGTCGTAACCACCGACCACTTTCACTTTCCAGGTAGTATAACGGGCCTGTAACTCGACCTGCTATGAGGCGGTGGGTTAATGAGAGGGAGGGCGAGGGGGGGATGGGTGGGGAAGGGAGGAGGGGAGAGGGAGAGGGAGGGAGAGGGGAGTGAGGCGAGGCAGGGAGGGGAGGCGGAGGAGAGAGACAGAGAGGGAGAGGACCCGTTAAGGGAAGGTGGGAATCGGAAAAGGGAGGATAGGTGAAAAAATCTCAAGACGTGATTCAAGTAGCGCCGAGAGGGGGAGGGAGGGGGGGGGGTACGGTTTGTCACAGTAAGAAAAAAGTATATTACCACAACTCGGAATTAACACGATTAATGTCAAATGTAAACCACTGCCTTCAGACAAGGTAAAATATTGATGCTAATAATACTAAAAGACGAACGACATAAAAAAAACACACACATAAATAAACATAAATAATGAAATTCAGAAGGAGAGAAAAATAATAATAGCAATAGAAAAAAGGAAAGAAAATTTAGAATATGAAGAAAAAGAAGGAAAGAAAAAGAATAACAAGAAGAACAAGAACAAGAACAAAAACAAGAACAATAAAAGAACAAAATGAAGAAGAGGAGGAGGCACAAGAACAAAAAACGGACACAGGGAGAGCATCGAAGAGAAAGGGGGCACACGAGAGGCGCATGCCCGGGCCTTTCACTTTCAGGGAGAGGGGGGGGGGGGGGGCGTTGGCTAAACAATATACGCAATCTAAGTGTGATGGTGTGGGTGTTTTGAGTGGGTGTTTTTGCGTGCGTGTGAAAATTGTGTGTGTCTGCGAGTTTGCGTGTGTGTGTGGGGGGGGGGGTTTGTATGCGTGTGTGTTAGGATGACTGTGTGTATGTGTGTGTTCATGGGGGAGTAGAAGCCTCTGTGTGTGTGTGCGTGTGTGTATGTGTGGGTGCGTGAGCGTGCATGTGCAGTGGCGTGTCTGTCTGTACGTATGTATCCGAGCCTGTGTATCAATGTTTTTGCAATAAACCAACGATTTTACACCATAGTAGTACACTAAAATATCACACGAGTAGAAAAAGAACTTGTCCTAGGGGCTGTTTAAAGGGATTCTCTTTTCTTTGGTTTAGCTAACACTTTTTGTACAGCTTCATATCAGTAAGGGGAAAATTGCTGAATACTGATACTTGGTAAAATTAATAATAATAATAATAATAATAATAATAATAATAATAATAATAATAATAATAATAATAATAATAATAATAATAATAATAATAATAATAATAATAATAATAATAATAATAATAATGATAATAATAATAATAATAATAACAACGTAGAGCTGTAAGACATGTAAATGACTGGAAATTAGGAGAGAAAGAAAGGAAGAAGGAGAAGAGAGGAGACAGACAGAGAGAGAGAGAGAGAAGAGAAAGAAAGAGAAAATGACAAGAGAGAAAACCTGAGTGAGAGTGAGAACAAGAAAAGAGAAACGTTAGAGTAGAGAAAAGAGAGAAAAGAGCGAGAGAGAGAGAGAGAGAGAGAGAGAGAGAGAGAGAGAGAGAGAGAGAGAGAGAGAGAGAGAGAGAGAGAGAGAGAGAGAGAGAGAGAGAGAGAGGAGAGGGGGGGAGGGAGGGAGAGACGGAGAGAGAGTAGACAGACAGACAAAGGCAGACAGCAGACAAAAAGGACAAAAACAGACTGACAGCTAAAATTCATTAACCACTTCTAAAAAACTAACACATACAAGATCACACATTTCATATTTCAAGATTAACCTTGATCCATGCAATATATAAACTGACAATTTTTTTTAATAGGAAAATAAGAAAAAGATAGTTAGAAAGACAAATAACAGTGAATTATCATATAACCCAAAGTGCATTACATAAAAAACACATCCTTACAAAAATCATCTTGGTTATATTTCAGATAATTACTAGTGGCAGAGTTGAAGTCTCCCCAAAGGAGTTATGTTGTCCTCGCTTTAGACAATAAACCCGGGCACTTATTACAAGAAATGCAAATTGAGAAATTGATATCAGGACAATTAAAAAAAAGGTTAAACTATAGTCAACATCAGAACATTTGTAAAAACGAAAACTAACAATAATAACAATTCTCTCTTTATAAATATATACACTTGTATTCAGTGACACTTTAAACCATTCACGGATCCAATGAAAAGAATTAGCAGCACTATTGAAACTTGCTGTCACGGATCACCAACAGAAATATTTCACTACGTGTTTTTTCAAGTACACAGTAAATGACGTACCGGTGGCGACCACGCCTACAAGGAGAAGTGCGACGACGTTCCTCATCTTGAGAGTGTGATAATAGAACTGTGACTTCGACCGGCTCCGCGCAACCTTATATACCTGGCATCCGGGACCTTCGGCGACCACGCATGCGCACAACACGCGCTTGCGACGAACTTTCAAATATCCTT